GGTAAATTAAACCATCTGGGCACAAAATCTTAGCTGTATTAAAATTGATAGATCTTAGTAAGTGCCAGAAACTCCCATTACGAAAGTTATAACCAGACATGTAAGCCAAGAACATTAATTTCAATTAGATCCCATCAGGCTTCACTCTAATCAACATAACTTCCAACATATTTGTAAAATATCCACCAGGTGATTTGTGGGACAATGACAACGAGGAATACGGATTGTAAGAAGAATCATAATGATACGACAATGTAAAAGATGTCCGGATAGATAGACAGACAAATTAGGTCAAAGATTGAAGAAAGAGACAAGGTTGTATCATACTAGAGGATGAAGGCGGTGAATGTGAATATACTAGTGATGTGAAAGGGGTGACAAGATGAAATAAAATAAAAAGAAGTACATTTTAAAATTCATATGTAAGATCATTTATGAGGTTCTCCCTGTCCAAGTCACGGATAAAAGCTGTACAAATTTCTTCTGGATAGAGAGCTTTAGGTTGCGTATTCGGATTTCCACAGCTTCAGCTATATTTAAAGGGCGGATTCGAACTCCATTGGAAAGGTTCTGTGGTTCTGCGATAAATCACTTTGAACGCTTTCGTCTTATCACTATCAACTAGATGGGACAAAATAGAGATTCTAATGAACTTAACCTTTCCTTTACCCAGCCACGAAGGTAGGTGTTCGGTAATAAGTTCGTTAAGTTGCCTAAACGTACATCAGATATAACTGTCTCTACAGGAGCAATTAAACTCGTAAATACATATGGAAGTGTTGAAACTAGGTGACTTTTCCTTCGTTTGACACGAAACAAATCTTCGACTAGAAAACGACAGACAAGGGTTCGCTGCATACAAGTTCTTTTATTGGTTCTCGACAGTCCGTGGATTAGAATTTACTAAGTATATCCCCATTAATTTGTAGCTTTATGAATTATGGTTTTTTCCTAGTGGTTGCTGCTTCACGTCTTTTCACCGGTGTATTCATGTGCTTTTTTATAAAATTGTGAGGATGAATTATTTCCATTAATGAATTTGAAACCTACTTTAACTCATTATGCAGAGTGCCATCTGAGCAGATTTTCCTTGCCCTGGCTGTCAAATATTTCACTAAATTTCATTTGTATCGTATAGGAGTGAAACTAAGGAAGTGTGCGTATTGACATGTAGTTTTATTTTTTCTGTACAAGCTTCTATGAAGTGATCCATCTCCTTGTTTACTCAATAAAACATCAAGGAAATTTAGCTTAATATCCTGTTCTTCACAAGTGAAGGCAAGTGACAGGTGTATGCTGTTAAAGGCACTCAATAGTTCGTTCTGATCCATATTCTGGTCAGTTATAATGAATGTGTCACCCACGTATATGTAATACATATCTAGCTTCAATGAACCATTCTCTAGTTTGGCCAGAAAAAAGTCTGCAAGGATTGGGCTTAATGGCATTTCATTTTCATTCCATCTACTTGTCTATAACATGCATTACTGAAAATAAAGTATACATTCAATGTATATTTAAGAAGTCATTCCCTAAGGTTGGACTCAGTAGTTCCAATAATGACTCATTGCTCTATCAGTTACTGACATATGAAAACGATGGTCTCAGTGAGCGGTACATTAGTGAATAATGACGATATATCTAACAATATCATACGTTTTCCACTGACATTTACTTCTGTCACGTTGAAGATGAAATCGAAGACATCCTTCACACTGTGTTTTACAACTAGTTTGTGAAGGGATCTTAAAATCTGGATGAACCATTTTGCTGTTTTATGATATGATGAATTATACATATCTAAGACTGGACGAAGGGGAAATCTTAGTTCGCAGATTTAACACAGACCACAAAGCCGTGGAATGCTACATCCTGTAAGCTTCAGTGATTCATGCACCGCTGGTGAGATGATACCTGTTTGCTTCAATTCCTTAAGATAGTTAGTCAGCTGATTTTCCACTCTTGCATTCAGATCTCTGGAACCAATGAGCTTCTGGAACTTGATTTGATCGCTCGGGAAGGGAATTCATTTTGTCTACATAGTGCTTTTGTCCAACAAACACTATACCTCCTCCCTTATCTGGCTTACTCATAACTAGCTTTTCATTCTTCCTCAGCTTTTGAAAAGCTTCTCAATGTTTTTTCGTCAACAGGCTGTTTGCAGAACTCCTACCATTTTTGTACTGTTAGCAGCTGTCGATTAACGTGGTTTTTGAACCTGTTCATTTCATTATCTGAAGATGCGACCAAGCCTAGTGAGCTTAAGAATTTTACAAAAAGCTCTACACAGATTTCCATGCAATTAAAAACAACCATATAATATGATAGAATATAGTGTCAATCCTTAAGACTAACTTAGTGGGGTGGATTAATGATAACTGAACTCTTGTTTTTCGATTCAACCCCAAATACTTTCAACAGGAAGGATTCAACACCTGTTTCGCAAAATCCTACTACCTATATCGGAAAGGAGATGCGAAAGTTAGAACCATATAAAATATATTTCATAGCTGTGTAATGATCTTGATATGACTGTGGACAACAAATTCTGTTCTAAAACTAATCCAGTAAATAATATTATTTCACCATACGATACAATGCAATAAGTTAATTAAAAAGGAATTACATTCTACCATATTAGCCAAGTTTTACTCTTGCATTGACTCCTCCGTTCACGAACTCTTCAATTTGTCCTACATTTGTGGAACACAGTTACAGTATAAATGTCCAGTATTCAACAACTGAGTACTTTACGAAAGAAATCTGTATATACAAGTTACTTTCGAATAACACTATAAAATCTGCTTATTTTACTCCCATGAATTGTACTACTTCCAAGTAGTTAAAATAATTTTGCAAACTTTGTCAAAAAACTATTGGATTTTTATAATACTTCAAAATACTCATTTGAAGGGATGCAAAAGTAAAATGATTCAACAGAAAACCAGGGGTTTAATTGTTCATTTGTTATACAAAGCGCTTTCATTACTATCCAGTTGACGATACTGTATCGATGTCAGTCTTTCAGTTATATTCTGGTTATACTGTGCAGATAGATAAATTGAACTTGATGTATGAAAATCCTACATCTTTTGAGTCAACTCAGTGAATTTCTGAAAACTTTCAGTAGAACGCCATTCAACTGATGGATCGAATCACAAATTGACACACTTAAAACGTTTTTCCAGTAGGTTACTATGATAGTAATTGTGATGATGAAAATTGCAGTATTTTTTATAACCCATGTAAGCTTTTGAAATGCATTAGTTGTATAATTTGTTGCTTGGGTTCCTAGTGGAATATAGGGATTCAGTAGAACGTCGGCAGTTAATTCTCTTCTCTGATATCTTTCAACCTGATTCAACCACCGCCCATAACCTTTCATTAATTCGTCATACCATTTCCTCCATGTCACCATCAGTTCAGATACCCACCTCATCCTTTCCCATTTGACTTCCACTCGACGACCTGGATTGGCCTGGCCTGACATGATGCGTGTCGTGCAAAAACCGCCTTCTCAGTGTATGTTTAATCCTATACAATCCATCTCCACTTTCATCTGCTGCATATTTATCGGACGACCGGTTGTTGGTTGGTTGTTTGGTTATTAGACCAGAGTTCGTTGTTGCTTATTCTTATTATTTTGGTCATCTGATGTCCATCTGTAGTAACGAGTGAGCATGGAGGCGACAGCTGTTGATGTGATGTATGTGCGTAGTATGCTGGAAATGCCTTTTGTGACGCGCCAAGTCTCTCAACCATCACACAGAAGCACTGACTTACTTGACTGACATCAGTGTTGAAAATCTGTATGTTGTTCACGTATTATCCTGAGTGTAGTGTAGTGGGGTGCAGTGCAGTAGATCTACACACTGTTTTTAGATTAATGCAGTAAGGCCTATCCTGCTTTTTTTCCGATACTGGCTTTGATATCTCATCTGTGCCGCAGCCGTCGCCGCCGACTGTAGTTGAAACGATACTGTACAGCCTAGGTAGGTAGGTAGGTTTAAGAGACAACTTTCTTTAGATTTCTCCCGTTGATACCGATTAGTGCTTCTTGTTGTTGGTGTTGATGTTTGGTTATCTTCATCACCTCTGTATTCTCTATGTTCACCTGAGGGAAGTTCCATCTTCGTTCGCTGCCTCACCTCTTCTGCCAACTTGTTCGTTTTGGCCTGTAGGTCTTCGAGTTTTTGTGATAAGACATTGGAAATAGATCATCATTGGCTAATTCTAAATCTTCTTGTAGGCCGTTTTCATTGGTCTAGCCAGAGTATGCCCATCTTATTTCTCCTATTCCCAATGTACTAATTGGAAATGAATTGTTGAAATCTTCAAGATTTTATATGAAAAAAAATACTTTTGTTTTATAATAAGTCGTCAAAAGTCAATTAACAGGAAGTCATGCACTTAGTTTTTGTATTTTTTGATAATCATTAATCAGGCCTATCAACAGATATGAGAAAACTGTTATTATTACGATGATTCTGATTTGGAGAAGTCAAAGACATTTTTATCCAACTCTTTAGAACCCATTAACTACATTGATAACCAATTAGTGTATATACACATTGTTTTCATAGTCATTCGATAGGCAATCCACAAACGATTTAATGAAACATGACTATTTCATTTTGAACTCTTGAAAACTGTAAGAAATCTACCTTATAATGGCATGAGTTCTCTCTCTATTCAGATAAGTGAATTACAGTTTATTCAGATATAAATGAATTAGATCATTTTCAAAAGACCGTTAATCGAGTTGACTTTAAGCTATACTTCTACTGACTAAAATGTCTATTTATTCTACATGTTATAGATTTATGTTTTCTTTTTCTTACACTGATAATAATAGGTAATGCTGGTACTGGTATTCATAGTTGCTGTTATCATTTATCGATTTCTAATAAAAAATTCCATTATTCCAAAATAAATTATTTCGTCCAAATGCAGAAATATATGCAACCCTATCAGCAGCTATTGTTAATCTGATTCTAATTATGTGTCTTGGTAAAGTGTATGAAACATTGGCCTATAAAATGACTCAATGGGGTAAGAGATTTTCTCACCTTAATTATTTTTGAAATATGATATATAAATATATATATATATATTTATATATATATATATATATATATATATATATATAGTGTTCTGTGAGCTGGGTGGCTTAATCGTGAAGCGTTAATCGCCTTGCTAGACGACATCATCAGCACTAACTTCAGTATGAAGTGAGCTGTCAATATCTCTCCGTGAGTGATTTAGTAGCTTGCTCTGACGATGTGGTCTGTGATTGGTTGTCTCCTTCTATTGTTATGTCATTGACTGTATACACCTTCCTATTGACTGTTCCTCTGCTTGACCCTGAACTTTCTATCGTTTATCATTTTTCTTATTGGTTGATAGATCGGGTCTATGTATATACATCTATTGATTGCTGACTGACTGACCTGGATGCCACTCTTCTAGGAATTCTCTGATATTCTTTGTTTCCTATCTCCGTTCAAGATTTCTACATATATATATATATATATATATATATATATATATATATATATATGAATGGTAACGTCTCCGACTGCAGTACTGGGTGATACGGTTAGAATCTTAGGCGGGACATCGGTTCTGTTGAGGTTGCAGATACTCTATGCTGACAAGTTTCAAAAAGTAGGAAATTTAAGTCGTGTAGGGCTTCCTGCCTGGTGATTCCATCCAATGAACCGAATTTAAAGTGAGTTCTGTGTTTCTTTTGCTTCGACATGAATTTTACAAACTTCTATTGAGAAATCATGATCTGAGAGATCAATGAAGTTGGGTGTGAGGATAATTACTCACCGATGGTAATGAATGATGGTTAAGCTATTTGAGAAATCGACACAAACAGGAGTCAGAACACCAATGAAATCTGGCCATTTAGCTTAAAGGCAATGTTCTAGGCCAAGGACTTAAGGCAGAGAGCTAGTTCTCTAACACAGTAGTTGCCGTGCCCTGCTGATGAGTTTCAAACCAAGATGAAAAACCTACTCACTTCTTCTAAGTCCTAAATTATTTTCCAGTTGATATCAGCCCATAATAAATGAAACTTTTAATTCAGAATTAGCTAGTTTATTGTTGAATATGAATCTTAGAGTTGAAACGAACAGTAATTAATTATCTAGATGGAAGAGAGAGAGAGAGAGAGAGAGAGAAGGTTGTTCATATTTGAATGAATTAAGAGTTATTTTCGTCATAAACTGACATCATGTATACGTTTTCCCTTATAACCCCGAAAGAAACTAAATGATAAGTATCAATTTATTTTATAGGTTCTCATAGTTAAAACACCAAGCTACAGTAGAATTTGAATACCCTTCAACTCATTGTACTGAACAACAATAACTCATTACTTATTCCTTCACGTCATCAGCCTTTCATAAAACTTTCAGTTGACATTCAGACTGAATTTTCATTCTAATCACTTTCATTGTTTACAATTATTCTTAACTCACCTACTTACTTCTTAGTTTACATAATCTTTTTTCAATTTGGAGGTTTGTATGGATTTCATTGATTCCAAGATAGCAATCATCATAGACCGATATGACTTGCAGAACTATTAGAAGCATAGAAGCATTTGACAGCATGTTACTCTCTAGTAGTGAGTATCACATGATTCATCCAGGGATCGAAGTTGAGAGGTTCGAGTTCTGCACCGAGGATATCACCAATAAAACAAACTATCAGATTTCAATTATCAACGTTTTCCCTACTTCTTTCACCTGATAATATAACATGGCCTCCTTCCACTGCCACTGTTGAGTACCTGTCCTCACATCCAACTTAGTTTCTAAGTTCTCCGGCATTCATTTCACTACTTCCATCAGTTTTACAAAGTAAACCTATCTAACACAGTAACATGACATTCCCACTGCACTTTATTTCGAATTGCTTTTGTTCACTTCATTTTTCTTTTTTTCTGTTTTACTTGGATCGCTGACTGATTTTTATTCAGTGAATTTAACTGACTAGACTACAAATCTTGTGATAACTTGATGCTTAAATAATATCAACAGGACAGAGCTGAGGAAGGCTAGTGAAACAAAATGGATCTATTATATTTTTTTCTTCAGTTTTTGGAATTATCTTCCTTAAATATTGACATCAGCAAGATGAATAATGAAAATCACAGCGTGCTGAGAAAACATTTAGTTTTAACTTTTTACTAGTCAGGAACAGGGACTCATACCCTTGGAACCCTAATATGGAACTATATCCTGTGACGTTGATCGAAGTAACAATGATGATAGATTTCAACTGTTAACAGTGTATAATGATGGGTCTATACGATGACCTGATCGAAGCAGAGAAATGTTAACTGTTGATTACCGGCCTAGTGATTAAGAAGTAATGTATTCGCCTTGAGTTCCTAGGGTTTGAGCTCAATCCTTGTTACGGTTTTTGGTAAGTACTTCCAGATGGTTTGAAAACAAAGCGAAAAAGTTCCATATTAGATTGGTTATTTGATTGATATAGCACACAATGACACAATAAAATTTACTAAAGGACGACATTTCGAGCAAAATTTATTGCTCATATTCATATTCAAGTGATCAACCAACTTTGAAAATTTCTTCATATAGTTCAACAGTATTTCATTATTTTGTCTTAAAGGAGGAAGTAGAGATTGATAGCAGAATTACTGTTTATTGAATTAATGCCTAACACATATGTCGGAAACAATTCATCGCATACTGCGGACATCCAGAAAATTTTATCACCTATAAGACAAAAGAATGAAGAATTGTTGGACAATATATAGAAAGTTTCAAAGTTGTTTGATTATTTGGATATCAGTATGAGTAATAAATTCTGCTTGAAATGTTATCACTCGGTAAATTGTACTCTGTCACCGTCTGTTATATCAATCAGGTAAGCAATCTAATATGGGATTATACTCTGCCACAATGCCCTTGGCAGCTGCCTCAACACTATGGTTTTAGTGCAACAAATCCTCATCAACCTCATTCAACAGCTATATGAAGACGCTACACGCCAAGTGATTCACAATGGAAAGCTCAGCTCACTGATGCCCTCGAAGTGAAGTGAAGACAGGAAGGAGTAAAATAAGACTGCCACAAACTATCACCAATGATCTTCATGATTGTGGTCAACTGGATCATGCAGCAAACAGTGAGGAGTGAGAAGATGGGCATATGCTGTTTGATCGATGAAAATATCCCACAAGAAGATTTGTATTTCGCCGATGACGATGATGATGATGATGATGATGATGATGATTTGTATGTAATGTCTTTTCATACAAACTCGAAGATCTACAAGCGCAAACTAACAAGTTGACAGAAGAGGCGAGGCAGTGAACGAAGACGGGACTTTAAGTGAATGTAGAGAAGACGGAGGTGACAGATGAAGATACCCAACCAACACCAACACCACCACCACCACCACCAACAACAACAACAAGAAGGGGCACCAATCACGATTGACGAGAGAAACTTAAAGGAATTAGTGTCTTTCACCTCACCATATTGGCAGCATCGTTTCAACTAGAGGTGGTGGCTGCGGCACAGATGAGTATGTCAAAGCAGCCAGGATCGGAAAGACAACAAGACAGGCCATCCTGCATTAATCTGAAATCAGTGTGGAGATCTACTGTACTGCCCTGCACTGTACTGCACTGCAGTCAGCACAAAGCCTGAACAACATCCGGATTTTCAACACCAATCCAGTCAAGTAAGTCAGTGCTTCTGTATGATGGTCCAGACACTTGGTATGTCACGAAAAGCATTTGCAACAAACTACAGACATTCATGAACAACTGCCGCCTACGCTCACTCGATACTGAAGCTGAAGATGGAGATCAGATGGATGGCCAGAATAGTAGGAATAATCAACAAGGAACTCTGACTGACTGGCTGGCTGGCTGGCAACGAACCAACGAAGCAAGAGCCTATCGCTGAACAAATATGCAGTGGAAGGAAGTGGGGATGGATTGGGCATACAGTGGGAAGGCCGATTGAGGAAATCACAGGCCAGGCCATGTCCTTGAATGTAATCCCAATGGGAAACGATGAGTTGGGCATGCGAGTTGAGGTTGGTATGGAGGAGATGATGTGAGGAAGAAATGAAAGCTTGTGGACAGTCGTGGAGCGAGATTGAGCAGACTGAAGAGAAGAGAGTGCAGTGGATGCGTGCAACTGAAGCCCTTTGTTCCACTAGGATCCCAAGGGAAAAATAATATCAATAAAATGTTTGCTAAAATTACAGCTGTTTTCACTCAGCAGTTTGTCAGTATGCAAATATCAAAATACTAATTATAATTATGGCTTCTTATGGAATACAATCAGATATTAACTAGCAATTTACATATACTCTATGTGAAACGTTATCAGGGGTTTAGTTTGCTTTTTTTTCAGAAGGATAAGATATAATTAGCATGACACTTAAACACTTTACAATGATTCAATGTTTATTGGATTTTAAATAAAATGTCGAGATTGAGTTTTGAACACTGTCGAATAAAAATATTATCAGCAGGATAGGTAGAATACAACTTGTGATTCAAAATTTAATCATTAAACATCTTTAAAAACATGTTTTTCATCTTTTAGGATGTCATTCAAAGGAATAATGAAAAGTACTAGACGGTACAGAATCTAGAATTTTCTTCATTACACCCAACGAGAACATAAAAATTCAGCAATCGGATTAGAGTACATTAATATCCGCTTACTTGATTAGATGGCCATTTGTATATAGATTTGTTTTGTGATGCATAAATTTCTTGACTTGTTGACATGGATTGGTTTCAAATTGAAGAGTCATTGAAAAAGCAGGATCACTGAACACCTTTATCATGATAGTATGCGATCCCTCAACAAAGAACTTCCACTATCTTGTCAGGGACCTGGACAACCAGGTCTTGAGTCAAACACACCACTACTCAGCCGCTGGTTTGGCCTATATTTTGACTTGAAATGCAGTTATTTCGGAACTATTCTTCGGGTAGAAATGCAGGAAGACTGAAATGAAAGCTTATAGGTTTAGGTAAACAATGGTACCGTCAAATAAGTCGTAAGTAAAAAGTTTCTGACAGTAAATAGAGAAATATGACCGATAGTGCGTGTCTTAGATTCAATTTTCGCTTTTTCTGTCCATTATAACATATGAAACACGTTGTAAAGTAAGTGAAATTGCAAAATGTCAGATTAGTTCGCTTGATCCCATGCTAAGTCGGAGTTGTTCATGGCTAAGTCACAAATTAGTACTAAACACATGTGCAGTAGTTACCGGTTTCCAACAGTTTCCTGGCAGACATGTACATTAACTCACCAATACCTGTTAAATATGTAAGTTAAAATTACGTGAATTTGACAAAAAAATCATTTGAATAACCATATTATCACCAAAGTTAATTCATATTAATGATGGATCGTGGCTAGCAGTGGAATCCAGGATGCGCATTTCGTCTTATTTGGGACTCATCAGCTGGATGTACTTGCATCTCAGTGAGTGATATCGTTCCCACCGGGACGCGGACTCGCGATCGATCACTTCAAACGCCGTAGCGTTATCCACCACACCACCGAGCCACGATAGCCACTTCTTGTGCGACGGGTATAGTTTTAGTATACTTGTTTTTATATGATACCGTCGTTGATTGAACCGAAATGATCACTCCCGAGTCCAAGTCCCGATGGGAACAATATCACTCACTAGGAGGCAGGCACATCCAGCTGACGGGTCCAAAATAAGACGAAATGCGCACCCTGGATTCAACTGCTAGCCAATACCCATCACTGCTATAATTAGAACTCAGGTAATATCGAGGTATCCACACAGGAGCCCATTTGCCAATCGAGACCAATCAATTCGGTCGAATCAGCGACGGTGTAATACAAGCAATAACACTAAAGTTACTTCCGCTTGCTTGTTTGTTCCTGAGATGAAATGTTGTAGTGTACGAATAGGCAAAAGGAATAAGTATATTGTGCATACGGGCTGATTACTTTTGTAGGTAGTCACAACTTCATGTTTTCAACCAAAAATTGTGATTATTCGTTTAAATTCAAACTACTATAAAGTAGTATGAATTAGTTGTGTGAATTTTTAGGTCGCAAAAGTTCACCTCGCCTACAACTTCTGCATAGGAACAAAATAATTTACAAAATAAAAAACTACAAACTTCTCTTTTTTTCATCAGAATATGTTTGAATATATTTGTGGTGTGCTCAAAAAATTAAAACAAGAATCCAGTGAACGTTTCGTTATGTTGTTAACCACAGCTTCCTTATATTCTTGTAGTGATCATATTAAAGAAAACATGTTCAATTTCTTCTAGGATATTCATAACGAATATAGCTTAAACATTTATGATCCCCTTTTCTTTCTACTTCTCTAGAAATGCATCGAACCCAGAGTGAATTCGATAATCAATTAATCTTTAAAGTTTTCCTATTTCAATTTGTCAATTTCTATTCCTCCATATTTTATGTGGCTTTTTTCAAAGGACAGTAAGTTGATTTGGTTAAAATTTTAGTGATAAACCGTTTTTGTGATAGGATAGTTTTATCCTGTATTTATTGAATGAAGTGAATTGGGGAATGGAACTTAAGAACGGAAGTTGATTACATATCCTGAAGTAATCATGGGTTATCATCATCATCTTCATCAATATTAACATAGGACGAGGCGTTACTGCGTAACAGTCCAAGTTGACATACCTCATGTCAGTACATCAAGTAGAGAGGTAGTGGGGTGAAAGATGAAAATAAGGAGATTCAGTCAAAAGAAATACAAAGTATGAAAAGAGAGAAAGAAAGAATGAGAAAATAGTGAGATTCGGTATAATGTTACGATGAGGGTAATGTTTGCATACATCTGAGCCATGTGATCACCTAGAGTCTCCAACCAGTGGTTCCTCTTGTCCCGCGGACACCAACCGGATAGTCTGCATCGCCCCACATGGCTCAGACCAACAGTCAGAGACTTCATGCATTGGTGCCATGTTTTAGTCTGGCCACCTCGAGCCTTTTTCCAGCCTGAACCTACTTCGGTCAACATTGTGTGACGAGGTGATCGGTGACTAGGCATACGTAGTACGTGTCCCAACCATCTCAGTCGATATAAGTTCATAATCATGGGTGATATTTTGCTTTTTTCCCTTCACTACAAATGTTTAGGAAATAAATATTAATGTTTATATTCATCTCTCTCGTACATATGATGTAAAGGGTTTCATTTAAAAGCAATTGCAACACAGTATATCAAGAGAAGAAATACCTTCTTTTTCACAAAGTTGATATTCATCAAAGACTGATATCAATCGGGAGAACATTGAAAACCTGGGGTACTGGGCAGCTGTTTTGTTTCAGTATAGGGCTCCTCAATACAGCGCACTCCTGAATCGTCAGAGATCGGACATATGAGAACAATATTCTGTGGCCAGCTAGTTGCTGTTGAGCTAGTCGATCGGAATCAAGTATTTCACAGTTCACGATCAACAATTCTACGCTGATACATATCATTTTTAAAGTGCAAAGTAACACACGAAACAAAGCAAACACACATGCATGCATGCATACATACACATATACACACATACACACATACATACATACACACATACACACATGCATACACACATACACACATACATACATACACACATACATACACACATACACACATACATACACACACACATATATACATACACACATACATGCATGCACACATACATACATACATACACACATACACAAACATACATACATATATGTAAAGAAACGCAGACTAAGCCATATTTTTGTTTCAACAAATTAGAAATTACGATTTCTTGAATTTAATTGATAATGGAAACAGTCGATATGGATGTTGAATTATGAATGGACTGTGTATAGGTTACATGATGTGATATAATTTTGCATGATAGTGGTTTTCAGGTGGTAAATTACTGATAATAATAATAAATTTGACACGGGGTGAGAACTGAATTGATTGTGCTTAAGTCACATTATTGAATGTAAACTTCTTAGTAGTATAATATCCAGCTGACAAGTACTACTGAAATTTATGAACTCATAAAATCTTACTTGTTGCTAGTTTTAAATTTTCATTGGAAAACATATTTTTTCAAAATATTGTATCTAATAGAAGGTAATTTATATAGTGATCATCTGTAAAGTTGGATCTTGTACTCAACTGAGATATCTAAGCAATCATAGTTATCTGTTTGAAATTTCATTCTTTAGTCATGTTTGTCAGAGACTTATGTGATGTTGCATAGCACTGATTCATTTAAGTGAGTTCCAGTTGGTACAGTATAAACACACTGTTTTTACATTATCTTATCTAGGATATAATATGGTTACAATGTAAAAACTTCGTACACTTGTTTCAGTCGAATAAACAAACTCCGTTGAAACAATTTCAAAAGATAACCATCTTGACTTCTCTAAACACTTATAAATAGTTTTTTTTTACCAACACATCACTTGATTATTCTAATATTATTCTATTCTTTTAGAATGGTTGGTTATCCTGGTCATTATATCTCTTTTTTTGGTCTTCGTAATGAAGCTTGCAATAATGGTGGCTGTTTGATTGAATTAGCTCAACAACTGCTTGTAATTATGGTTGGTAAACAGATAATTAGTAATTGCCAAGAACTTTTGATCCCGTGAGTTTAAAAGACATACTGATATTATTCTAATTGTCAGTAATGATAACTAATGAATACTTTCTCAATGATACTACATATGATGATGTTGAAAGGTATAGAAGGTGCAACACATATTCTTGTTCAGTAATCGACCTTAAAACAAAATTGCTTCATCAGTGTAATGAATCAATGAAATATCCCTGTCATGGTTAACCATGTTGCTCATATGTCCATGAATATAAATAGAAAAACAACCTTTAATGATGGATCGTGGCCAGCCGTGAAATCCAGGATGCGCATTTCGTCCTATTTGGGACTCGTCAGCTGAATGTGCCTGCTTCCCAGTGAGTGATCTTGTTCCCACCTAGACTCGGACTCATGAGCGATCGCTTCAAACGCAATAGCGTTATCCACTACACCATCAAGCCACGATAGCCACTTCTTGTGCGACGCGTATAGGTTTAGTGTTATTGCTTGTATTACATCGTCGTTGATTGGACCGAATTGATCAGTCTCTATTGGCATATGGGCTCCTGTGCAAATGCCTAGATATTTCCTGCGTTGTAATTTTACTAATGATGGATCCAGCTGATGAGTCCTAAATAGGACAAGATGTGTATCCTGGATTCCACTGCTATCCACGATCTATCGTTAATATAGTTACAACGCAAGCAATATCGAGGCATCCGCAAAGGAGCCCATATACCAATAGAGACCAATCAATTTGGTCCAAGCAACGACGATATTATATAAAAACAACTGTACTAAAAACAACTTTTGTTCATTGATTACTTCTGGCCGTATACAATATTTGAGCAGTGGTATAAGTCTGGGAATTAAAGGGTTATATATGCCGTCAGTCAGTTGAGGTACTTCATTTAGAAGAACTTTTTAATGATTATGAGAAAGAAAATTAGGGAAAAAATCAACTGTTAGTAGGTTGGAGGGAATCAGGAAGACGTTCTACTCCAACTACGTTTCATGCTTCTTGACACTGGTCACTAGTACGTATCTGCGGCCTTGATGGAAGTAATATCTTCTCTCTCGTCATCCATTGCTGCAGTTAGCTATTCCAGCTAAAATTAACATCCTGTAGAGATGAATTAGATGTGATGACTGTTCGTTGAATAGCAACGAATTTCATTTTATCTAGTCCTAAGTGTTGACTGAAATCTATCCATAATTTTTCAATTTGGCTGCCAAACTAGGCAGTTCACCATTATGGCGCACTTTAATGAGTGTTGGTTGGTTGGATTAAGTCAACAGAACGTCATGGATCTCAGTTAAGTGCTTGTGTGTCCAGTAATATGTAAACTGTAAGCACAGCTTAGGCTCATTATTTTACGTTAAACGGAAAAGTAAATGACTTTTAGATAGAATTCTCTGGTCTTCCATCTCAAACTTATCGAAAAATCAAAATACACTCAGAAGCCACATGAACGTTCATGCAGTAGCTACCCATAACTTGTTAGAAGAAGCGTGATTAAGAACTCAACCTATGGTTTCGGGAGTCAAGTGCCCAGATCAAAAAGTCACAGCTGCACACTTGTTTACTGATGATTAGCTGCGGTTGAAAAGTCTTCAAAACCAACTAGTAAGGTAAATAACGCAGTCGTTAACATCTACTTTAAGAAAACAATTTGAATAGTAGTCAGATTCTGATAAGAGACAATTTATGCTTCCATTTTCTGTGAGTTATTGTGCAAAATGTCATGAATTTGACATATGCTATCTGGATCTTTATAGAGAAGTAAGAAATCTCAACATGACATCCACAACTAGTCAAAACTCCTTGAAATCAATGCTAAAGCCTTTCCAATAACTTTCAGTTCACACAATTATCGTTAGAATTTATAAAACCGCTCTTAGTTTTAATAAACTACGTCGTATTACAAATCATGTTTTGTTAATTGGATGGAGGCAATCAGCAGAAAACCCTAGAACTGGATTTCGTGCCTGTTAGCATTCATTAGGAAGGCGTATTTGTGACCTCGACGGAACTGATGTCCTGCCCGAAAGGTGATTGATAAAATTCGACCAGCATTTAGGACTAGACGACATGAAGTTGGTTACCCTTTGGTGATCAATCAATGTAAACCGTTTGTTCATTGTTACGAACCCATTAGTAGCCTGTGGTTTGTTTCAGCGTTCAAAGCTTTTTCGTCTTACAGTTGATACGTGTGCCTGAGTGCATGTTTTACATAAAAATCATAAAATACTAAGATGCTCAAATTACAAATGATTTACAAACTTCACCATGGATGCCGACATTTCTCAGAACTGAGTAATTTTCTTAACTGTCCAACTTTGATGTCAAAAGGATTTCTGTCAAGTATTTAAATCACGGTGATCTGACTAGTGAAATCTACAAATCAGCTTGAATGCATATTAACTTCTCAAGTTGTCCATCAACATATTTCGTTGCTTCATGACTCCTATGTATCAGAGATCACATCTTACAAACTTGGCTGGGTGAATATTTCCGACGGAAACTCTGCTGACACCACAGTTGAGTAGCACTTGAAGAACTATTGAACTGTATGAAATGTCATCGTGAATCTTGTGATTTATAAATCAATTACAAATTGACCACTCTATTTATAGATATATCAGTCCATACAAATCAGCTAAGCTAATTCGGCTTCAGGAGCCGAATTTGTCTGGGTATACCACTGGTGAGCTCAATCGCAAACTAGCAAAATAGCCGTCCGGTTTTTATATCACTATGATCCAGCTGGCAAAATCTACAGACCAGCCTGAGTAAACTCTGACTACTGAGGTTGTTCAGTAATAGACATTTATCTAAATAAGTTATATGAATTAACAAGTGGTTTTCATATTCATTATGGAAGTTTTCTGAGATTTGATTGATTTCAAGTTGAAGAACCATTGAACCCTTCCTCTTGGTGTAGGGCTGCTTAATAAGAAAAAGTGGATGATTGGGTTTCAAACCAATTGTTCAGTGGCGGCGTGCTGGCTGCGAAACTTGAAAGTCCTGGATTAGATACCCGGAAGACTCCTATTCTGAGATGAAACAGTGATTGCGTACTTGAATATTTTCGATGACAGTTTACAACATATTTTTTCATCAGAAATTGATAATCAACTACGGAATGTACTTGAACCATAGTGTTTTTGAAGGTAGGGGGTGTATTTTACTAAAATAATAATAGTCTGTCAATCTCATCAATATTTGAAAAACTTCAAAACTGTTGAAATTTATCATTTTACCAGTAATAAAGCAAGTGGATTCATTAAAGACAGTAGATTCCTCAGAATACCAAAAGAAAAAGAATCATTTCAGCTTTGTTTTATTATCTATTTACATGTAACTTTTCTATACAAAATTAATTTACTCTTCTTATAAATTTGACAGTAAATTACGTACTTGGTTTCATAAATATCGAAAGGGATTGAATAAACAAAATATTGCATCCACTACAGATCTGGATAGAGCTCATATATTTATTGAAGATTATAAGTTAATATCATATGAAGGATTATTTGATGAATATCTTGAAATGGGTAAGTCATTTTCACTCTTACAATTTTTATCTTTAACTAATTTAAATGAAACCGGTAGAAAAATGGTAGGATAGATTTGTTTCGTAGATTCTCATCAGTTGCTTTACCAACTATAAAATATAAGGTTAATGATAATTTTTAAAAAACAAGGCATATAATATACTTCCATTTTAGTCTGTTTATTAGAAATATAACACAGTGAGGGAACAGTAGCATTTACTGGATAACAATGTTTCGGACATAATTTATTGTCCATATTCATATCAGGTAACAAAACTCCACAACTTCGAGACAGTCTTTATATATTCCTACTTCTCTCTCCTTCTCTGTGATGATAAGGGTAGTAGAATTTCCTACACATCTGGGATAGGTGCAGAATCATTTCGATTGCTGCATGTATTTGGTGTTGGTTGGATAAACAAGGATTCGGTTATCAATCTCTCCCTCACTGCACCCAACTAAGTTAATTTTCAACACTATCGCCCTATCCTACCATACTGTGTGATGGTGTGTCATCGCATGCAGAGCTATAGCCGAGTTTTTCTCTAGATTTCTTATCTTATTAGGATCTACTAATCTGGATTTGGCTAAGTTTTTGTGCTCTGTTATTCTAATCGACCCTGGTAGACTGATTTGACCTATGTACTTGATCTCGCAATCATTGCAAGGGATCTGGTAAACCAGATTATTTTGCTTAATTGTATCGATAGGATCTTTTAGGCTACCAAGCTTGTTTGTAAGTGAGTTTGTTGGTTTGAATGCCACTTTAATCCCAGCCAGCCTTATTGAGAATTCTTCGTAGTACTTGTGAGGTGCCTTCCTTGAATAGTAACACAGCAGAGGCTTTGAATTCTCTCTTAACCCTGTCGCCATTATTACCACTAGTAGTGGGATTGTTATTAATAACATCTGTATTACTTAGAAACATGCTTTGTAGGTTAAAAGATCCGATCGATGCAATTCAGTAAAGTAATCTGGTTTACCAGATCCCTTGCAATGATTGCGAGGTCAAGTACGTAGGTCAAAGCAGTCTACCAGGGTCGATTAGAATAACAGAGCACAAAAACTTAATGTAAGTGTAAAACTTGGGCACTGTGGTCGAGTGTAATTCCATTTTAGTCTGTTTATTACTGTTTAACTGTGTGATATTTCTAATAAACAGACTAAAATGGAATCACATAAACTTAGCTAAATCAAGATAAGTAGATCCTAATAAGATAAGAAATCTAGAGAAAAACTCGGCTATAGCTCTGCATGCGATGACACACTATCACACAGTATGGTAGGATAGGGCGACAGTGTTGAAAATTAACTTAGTTGGGTGCAGTGAGGGAGAGATTGATAACCGAATCCTTGTTTATCCAACCAACACCAAATACATGCAGCAATCGAAATGATTCTGCACCTATCCCAGATGTGTAGGAAATTCTACTACCCTTGTCATCACAGAGAAGGAGAGAGAAGTAGGAATATATAAAGACTGTCTCGAAGTTGTGGAGTTTTGTTACCTGATATGAATATGGACAATAAATTATGTCCGATACGTTGTTATTCAGTAAATGCTACTGTTCCCCCACTGTGTTATATTTCTAATAAACAGACTAAAATAGAATTACGCTCGACCACAGTGCCCAAGTTTTACACTTATATTAAGGCATACAATATACTTTCATAAGTTGATATTAATGCGTTGATTGAGATAGAAGATAATAAATTTCTTCAACTTTGATCGGCTTGTATGGTTATTATCTACTATATTGGCTGAAACATTCTTTTCGCATTATGAAAATACTATCTATACCTTATTTTATTATCATAAACAGTGAATTCTATAGGTCAGTAAAGTAGCTGATGCTCACACCTCTATTACAGAAGGTCTGGACTGAAGGGAAGGTACCTGGCGATCGGAAGAAGGGTTACCTTGTCAAACTCCAGAAGAAAGGCTACCGTAGTCTTTGCAAGAACAGGCGCGGAATCACGCTCCTGTCCACCTCAAGCAAAATATTATGCCACATCATGGAGGAGAGACTAAAGGATGCACTGGATTCAAAACTACGACCGAAAAAGACTGGTTGGCTGACTGGTTTCAGGAAAAACAAATCATGTGCCCATCAAACTGCAACGCTACGCTCCGCATCATCATAGAACAGAGCATAGAATGGCAGTGAACTCAACTTCATTGACTTTGAAAATGCCTTCGACAGCGTCGACAGACACGTAATTTGGCATTTGCTTCAACACTACGGTATTAGTGCAACAAATCCTCATCAACCTCATTCGACAGCGATATAAAGACGCCAGATGCCAAGTAATTCACAGTGGAAAGCTCAGCTCACTGATGCCTTTGAAGTGAAGTGAAGACAGGAAGGAGTAAGATAAGGCTATCTACTATCTTCCATGATATTCCTGATTGTAACTGGACCATGCAAGAAACCGTGTGTAGCGAGAAGAGGGGGATACGCTGGACAGGGGAAAAGATCCCAGAAGATTTGGATTTCGCCGATGATGATGATTTATGTTTGATGTCTTGTTGCACAAACTCGAAGATCTACAGGAAAAACTAACAAGTTGTCGGAAGGGGCGAGGATTCGAAAACCGGACTTCAAGTGAACGTAGAGAAGACAGAGGTGACAGATGAAGATATCGAACCAACACCACCACCACTAACAACAACAAGAGGCACCAATCACCATCAACGGGAGGAACTTAAAGGAAGTAGCCCCTCTCACCTACCTAGACAAGGCTGAATCGTATCAACTACAGGCGGCGGCACAAATGAGGATGTCAAAGCCAGTGTGGAGATCTACTACACTCCACTCAGCATAAAGGGTGAACAACATCCGGATTTTCAACACTAATGTCAAGTCAGTCAGTGATTCTGTCTGATGAATGAGAGACTCAGGGCGTTACGAAAAGCATTTACAACAAACTACAGACATTCATCAACAACTGCCTACACTGGCTCGTTACTGAAGATCAGATGGCCGGAATAATAAGAATAAGCAACAAGAAACTCTAACTGGCAACGAACCAACCAACAACCTATCACTGAACAAATATGCAGTGGAAGGAAGTGGAGACGGATTGGGCATACACTAAGAAGACCATTGGAGGACATCACGCACTACGTCAGGCACTCGAGTAGATCCTAGATGGGAAACGGCGAGTTGGATGTCTGAGGCGAAGGTGACATGGAGGAAATCATGTGAGGAAGAAATGAGACCTTGTGGGCAGCCATGGGGCCGGGTTGGAAAGATTGCAGAGAAGAGAACGGAGTAGAGACGTGCTTCTGAAGCCCTATGTTCCGCTAGGAACCCAAGGGACGAATAATAATATATATAATATTTAATAAAGTAGCTGACAAGATTCAAAGAAATATATACATCTTTCTTCTGCTAATATCTCTGTTGTTGCTTTATTGAAATTCATTTTCATTTTATTATAATAGTCATTCTCCTTTTTGTGAAGATATTGTCAGTTATTTAATAGTGTAGCTTCATTATCAAAGGAAACTTAGATTTGAGTGACTATACCACAAAATGTTTACCTTCTTTTTTATATCATCCAGGAATTTAGGGTTAAATTTTATTCATAATTTAGAAAGTATTAAAGTTATTGTAAACAGTAGCCTTCACATTCTGTTTCCACAAATTATGAGTGACTTCAAACGTCATCACCCAGGCAATCAATCAGATTTTGGTATTTCGACTGTGAAAAAAGTTTTTCACAAAGTAAAAAAATCGTAATTGGTTTTCTCAGCAGTTGGTTTATGATGATCTTTAAAGTCACTCCAAATTGCTAAAATTTACTTAAAAATTTATCTATACTGGGTGATGATTGGAGATGAAATGAAAATCTGGACCGTATCCGGATTTGAACCAGCGAGCACAGGGTTTCCAGCTCGATGTTCTATCTATGATACTATCTCAAAGGTATGTATTATACTAGTTCACTGGTAAATAAAAGAGGAGTTTATGATTAGACTGTAAGGATCGAAAACAACTGTATTCATATACTAAATTAATTATGATTTGACCATCTAAGATAGCCGTAGTTTGACAGTATTTGTACTGGTTCAAATCTGGCCGCTGTCCAGATTTTCATCTCATCTTCAATCATCACCCAGTACAATTACTAAATTAAATAAAATGGTACTATGATGCAATCTGTTTGACTGCATACCTATCTTCGTTGAATTGACGATTACATTCATCAAATACGTTCAGTCTTTTGTCCGCATTAACAACTGTAAAGTTTTATTAATAAATGTTGATATCGATATCTCACAATAACCAAAAATAGGACCAGATATTTCTTAAGCCTCAGACGTATGAACTTTTGTTTCAATCGTAATTCATTAGGTGGGTGCTATAGTAACCAAAAGTTCATTTTAAGAAGCAAACCAATCATATGGTGTCAACATACCCTGTCAACCTATTTCCATCTACAAATTAACAGTGATATCGACTAATTATTGCTTAAAAATGTTGAGAAACAATTAAAAAGTCCAAATGTGAACTTCATGTTGCAGTGGAATCCAGGATGCACATTTCGTCCTATTTGGGACTCGTCAACTGGATGTACCTGCTTCCCAGCGAGTGTTCTTGTCCCCACCGGGATTCGGACTCGGGAGCGGTCGCTTCATACGCCAGGGGGTTAACCACTACACCACCTAGCCACTATAGCCACTTCTTGTGCGACGGATATAGTTTTAGTATAATTGTTTTTATATCAAGTTGTATTTTTATACACTGTCTCATTCCAAATTATTCGCATTTATCCTAGAAACTTTCATATTTTCTCATTCTTTAATAGTATAGTAGGATTCACCACAAACTGACATCAGTTGGTGAACCATTGACAACCTGGGAGCAGAGGACAGCTGTTTCTTTTAGTATGGAACTCCTGAACTGTATGCACTCACGCCCCCCCCCCGCCCCCTGAATCACACTCAGCACCCTCACGTCTCACGGCCAGCGTTTAACCACTCATCTATTGGG